TGTATGTTTGCTTTTATTTTTCCCTCTGTTAGCACTGAGAGTTGTTAATATAACTAGTCTCCTAAGCCTTCGCTACCATAAACAAGACCCTATCTGCTAGGCTAAATACGCCATACCTTTCGTGTAGTTAGGATTCTAAAAGCCCCAAACAAGAAATCACCTGGCATACACTTCAGCTAATGTGATGTCTGTAAATGTTCCCCACCAACTAGAGCAGGGCAACTGGGCACGTACCTGTCTCATATTATGCAGTTCTGTGTTCGTGCGTTCTTGCTTTGACTTTGCAATATCGAGTAACTCATCCTTTCTTTTTTCTCTCTCTGCTATTTAAGAACAAAGATTATTCAAATACTGTTCCTCAGTCATATTACCTCAAACCTCTTCATTTCCAACAACTTAATGCACAGCTAACATTTTCTCCTCCTCATTCCTGAATTATAAAATTGCAAAATATAAAATAGATAAACAAGTTCATACTATATAGCACAGGGAACTATATTCAGTATCTTGTAACTTACGGTGAAAAAGAATATGAAAAGGAATATATGTATGTTCATGTATGACTGAAGCATTATGCTGTTCACCAGAAATTCACACATTGTAAACTGACTATATTTCAATAAAAATATATATATACAAAAAAAAAGGTAAAACGGATGGCTGGGGAGAGCTTTAACCTGTGATTCTGACCAGATCCTTCAGCAAGCTTGAAAACTTTCATAATGCAATTAATGCTAAGTCAAAAAAGGATTCAAAACTGTATCAACTCTATGATCAAATTACATGTGTGTGTTTGTATATAGATATGCATAGAAAAAAATCTGACAGCAAGATTACAAGAAGTTATCTTTTAATGGAAGGATTAATGACAATTATTTTCCTCTCTTTTTTTTGTGGGGGGAGGGAGGTGATTTCCAAATCTCTAGAATTAAAAATATTTCTTTATTTTTTACTTTTTCCACATTACACAGTAACTTATGAATGCATTTTCCTTGTAAGAATACAAACAACATATTACCTTTATTAATAGAAAGAAAGCTAACATTACAAGGGGCGAAAAGTCACTATTTTTCCCGGCACGTAAGTCAGTCTAATATAGCCTCACAATTAGGCTATCTCTGTGCAACTCTCACTGATCAAAGATCGAAGACATCTGGACCTATGAGGTGACCCCGCTGGTAGACAAACTTGTATTTCCATTTTAATAAAAGCCCGGCACACCTTTAAAGATTTCCTAGTTCTTGAAAACTCTTTTTACCTGATAGGTAATTAAGATTCAGAATTTTCTTTAAAATACATAGTATTACACTCAATTTCCTAATGCCAAAAGAACAAATAGCTGTTGTTGTTGTTTTTTAAATCTTCATTCTTTTACAAAGACCATAAACATTCTGCTGAAACACAGGACACTTCACTATCACTAGAGTTGGGATATAAGAAACCAGTGTTTTTTTTCACTTTTTTTAAATTAAAGTGTAGTCAGTTTACAATGCTGTGTCGATTTCTGGTGTACAGCACAATGCTTCAGTCATACATGAATATACATATATTCGTTTTTATATTCTTTTTCACCGTGAGCTACTACAAGATATTGAATATAGTTCCCTGTGCTATACAGTATAAACTTGTTTATCTGTTTCATATATACCAGTCAGTATCTGCAAATCTCAAACTCCCAATTTATCCCTTCCCACCTCCTTCCCCTCTGGTAACCATAAGTTTGTTTTCTATGCCTGTGTGTCTACTTCTATTTTGTAAATAAGTTCATCTGTCTTTTTGGGTTTTTTTAGATTCCACATATGAGTTAATATCATATGGTATTTAAGAAACCAGTATTTTAAAAACAGTTTCAGAACTTGGTCAACAAGAACCCACAGAAAGGAAAGATCTAAAGTGCTATATACAAAGACTGGTAGCAGAAAAAAAAGTAATATTATGCTTAGAGAGAAATAATTTCATTCACATAGAAGTAAGAAATCAACAATAAATTTTTCACCTAAAAAAAAACCCACTATCTTTTTTTTTTAGACATTTTTTTTGAGGCTTCTGTCTTGTTTATTTTTTGGAAGGGTAATTAAGTTTACCTATCTGTTTATTTGATAGAGGTACTAGGGATTGAACCCAGGACCTGGTACGTGCTAAGCATGCATTCTACCTCTGAGCTATACCCTTCCCCTGAAAAATGCACTATCTTATAAGAAGTTGAAACTACACGCATAAAATGACCATCTAATTACATGAATCGGTTCTGAGTAAATCAATTAGTTGCAATCTAAATCTATGGTTTATTAATAAAGCACCTTTTCCACACGTCATTTTTCTCGTGGATGAAAAAGAATACAGGTATTTATCATTATCACTTCACACATGGAACATCACAGAAAGCGTTTAAGGACAGAGGCGTGAGCTTTGCTGGAGATGGTGACACCGCCTGAGCAGCGTCTTTGCAGAGTGTTTGCTGGTGGTCACAGGGACCAGGAGGAGAGAAGCATGAGGAGGGGCCTGTGAAAAGCCACCGCTTCCTCCCCAAACACGCTGACGCTCAGCCCTTCCAGCAGGGTCCGCAGCAGCACCTTACTTTTAAGGGCAACCCTCGTGCACAAAGGCAGAGTGAACGCCGTGGTGTCAGCTTAAACTACTACGTCTCTTCCATTTGATTCGGAATTTATTTCTTTGCATTAGATGAGTCAACGCCATAACAGAGGCCTATAAAGCTAGTGGACTTGCATTATTTATGTGGAGCCACATTTAGTTTATGTGAATTCAATGCTGTGCACAAAGAAAACAATAAAAAAGGGAAGGCAGCTCCTTTCACAGTGGAAGTGATGCCCACAGCGCTGCCCTCAGTCCCACCCGCCTCTCGTGCTAACAGCATCCCGACAGGCTGGGTGCACCTCCAGTGTTTGGAGACGCTTGTTTCAGACACAGCACGGCTCCTACACAAAAGCCAACTACTCTATTTGGAGCTCAAGGGTAATTTTAACTATATTTGAGTGTTGCCTTAGTCTGACTTTAGAAT